GAAAGTCAACTCTTCGAGGTTGAAAGCTGTCTGACATATTTTGGTCTGGTATATTTTAAGCTACCTTGAAAAGTTGAAGTTATTGAGACTATCAGTGCAGTTTAATGTTTTATTTAGGTTTCCGCGAAGTTGGCAATGCCGTCAACTAGCAAATGTGTGATTAAGGGGAAACGAAAATTGATAGAAGTCAAATCTTGGGAAAGTAGAACGCGTATAGCTGGACTTCACCTGCTTAAGGAATACGCTCAGAGGGAATCTATAATTGTCTCGGTAGAATGGTATTGCGTAATCGAAGGCCAAAGTAGAACGACTCAATGTAATGGCAGTCACCTATATAATGCTAGATATTACCTAGTTGCGAAAGAACTCGGATTCAATTTAGCGCACGTCGAAGTAGAATCGCCCGGCGTGTAATCAGACCTCCGCACGACCACGTAATACAAGTTTCAAACAATTCCAAACAATTCTGCGGGAATACTGCGTAATTAAAATTTCAAAGTGCTGCGGCCCGATATAACCTCAGTTAAATAGAACACATAGTCTGATACATGGTGCAGATACCGTGGAAATGTGTCGCAACGAAAATCGTAGAATCACATTCGTCGAAAATACCATTTGAAAATTGAATTAAGAAGGAAGATTGAAAAATTGAATTGAAATAAAAATTAAATTGCCAATAGATGGAGGCCAACCTTACTCTGTCGAAGTAGAACACACTTACAATGGAATCATACCACTTAAAAATTGAATCAAGAAAGAAAATTAAGAAGTTGAACTAAAATAAAAATTATACTTTTATCAAACGGAGACCAACGTGATTTTATCGAAGTAGAACACACTCGAAATAAAATTACACTAATTAAAAATTCCATGAAGGAGGAGAATTAAGAAGTTGAACTAAAATAAAAATTAAACTTCTATCAAACCGAGACCAACGTGATTTTATCGAAGTAGAACACACTCGAAGTAGAATTACACTAATTAAAAATTGAATGAAGAAGGAAAATTAAAAAATGGAATTAAATAAAAATGAAACGTCTAACAAACGGAGACCGACGTAATTTTATCGAAGTAGAACTCACGCACACTAGAATTACACTAATTAAAAATTGAATGAAGAAGGAGAATTAAGAAATAGAATTAAATAAAAATGAAACTTCCAACGAACGGTGATCAAGGCGATTCTATCGAAGTAGAACACACGCTAGAATCTGTCACAGCCAATCCTCCACATGACTACAACCCAACTCAGTTCGAATACACCAAAACCATCATCCCTTAATTAAACTCCGAAGTGACCTAACCCAATACGAGCGTGGCCCAAGTAGAATGCTCCAGTCAAACCCAGACCAAGCACCAATACAAACCATCTAACGGGTCACTCGACGATTAGACTCCCAACTGATAGAACCGCGTGCAATCTCCGGCAAGTAGAACGAACCGGTGTACAGCCAGACATCTCCAAAGAGTCCACTGGGAGGACACGACTACTTGGGAGGCTAGACTTGCAATTAAACTATATTTCATTTAATGGTAACCCTTGGAACGACGTTGGCCGAGGAATTTTCAAAGGATACTCCTGCAACCCGGTACAGTTTCTCGCAAAAATGTCTGCTCTGATATAACTACGACATACTTCATTAAATTAATTACTAATTCTAATTCAATGCACTTCAATTTAAACCTTCAGACCTCGAACTTCATCTTCAATCTCAATTCCACTCGATTAAATTCAATACCAAAATCTCAACTCTCGTTTAAAGAAAACTAATCATTACGAATCAGCGTTCGCAGCATAAATTATACCGGGTGATCCCAAAGTACCCACGTGAATACCAAATTTCTTTCCCGAGCAATATTCCACGCAATTAACCCTTTGCACTCGAGGGGCGCAGTCGCCACCTGATTCGAAGCAGACTTTCAAATTTTCACTTCAATGTTAAACATTGTGTACCAACACATAAAACATTGAAGTAAAATAGTTCTGTCTCTTAATTTATATAAGATCATCAGTTGTATTGGAAGTTGATATTCGTTCAATTAAATTTTTGAAATTATAGATATAGAAATAGACAATCAGCATTCACATTCGTGTAATTGGATCAACGAAAACCGATTGAAGCATTCGCCAAATAACGTTTATAAAATTCAATCTGCGTCAAATTGACGCGTTCCGTAAACCTAGCGTTAACATTTCGTCGGAAAGTAATGAATATTTTTCACGAAAAATATTGTCGAGCGCAAAGGGTTAAAGTACGTAAGATATAACGCACGCAAGTGGGTGAGCAGATACTTTTGTAAGCAACTGTAGCACGTAAAGGGCGAAGGGGGAAGCGGAGAGCGCGAGAGGGGGAAACCCTCTTTGCTCTGCTCGCTCGTGCAAATTTAAGTAGGAAGAAATGTTTCGCCGGCAACGCGCTCCGCTCTTTTCCCTTGGCCCTCTCCGCCGTCCTCCCCTCCCTCTCTTCCCCATGAGCTGGTTTCCCCGTGGAATTTTCTCCGGCCTGAAGCCGGGAACACGCTCGAAGCTTCCCACATCCTCGCCGGTGTCGAGTTACTCCTGTTTGACGTGCAGCGTCGTCGCGCTAAAGTAAACGCGCCTGTTCTTGGGACTTTCGGCCGCGCGCCGCCCGCTGGGACCGTTCGAAATTCATTTTTCAGGCGTCCCGAACCCGTCCCCTGATTCGTTATTGTTTCCACGGAGCGTTCGGAGGGATATCTCGAAGGAATTATGAAATTGACAGGAAGGTTGTTGGATTAGGATTGAAGATGTAGCCTGGGCGAGAGTGATCTTACGCGGGGACGAAAGAAAAATTGTGGATTCAAAGGATAACAAGTGAACTTCTACTTCTCATTCGTTTAGGTATCGATGTCTCGTGTTAATGAAAAGCAACGAAGAATGTTATCTGTTATCGTATCTAGAAATGAAAAACTCTAGTCATTTCTTGACGAAATCTCTGTTTTCGAAGATGAGTTTCAAGTTTGCATGTGACTGTAATTAACCTCTTGCCGTACAGTGACGACTGAGACTCGTGATGAAGATTTCTAGACTAACTTAACAACGATTGGTTAAAAATAATTAGATAATAATAATAATAATAATAATAATAAAAATTAGAAATAGTACGCCAAGGGGTTAAGACAGAAGCCTATTATAAGGTGTCGTTCTGAACCTCCATGCAATTCTTTTCTTTTATCTCCTTCGAATCACAATCTCTAAATAACTAGTATCTCATTATTATAATACTATTCATCTATCATTTTAGATACCATAAAGATTTTCCTACTCTCTTACTCTCCTTGCGAGGCTGAACGTTTCTACAACGATCCGATTCGAGAAGCATCAAACTATTTTTAATTACCGTTCCCGAACACGGTAATCTATCTTAATCGTCCGATTGGTTACCTTTGACTCCTGAAGATCAGTTTCTACAACGATCCGATTCGAGAAGCATCAAACTATTTTTAATTACCCGTTCCTGAACACGCTAATCCATCTTAATCGTCCGATTGGTTACCTCTGCCTCGTTAAAGACGCGATTTCCACGTTTCCCGATCGCAGGTCGCGCCGAGGTGGGCCGCGCTCCCGGGGAACGTGACCCATAAAAGCGAGCCGTTCTTTTATTCCGCTTCCCCATGGGGCAGAGCGGCGTTCGACACGCGGGGAATAGCGGAACCAATAATTCCAGGTTAATGTCTCGTGAAAAACAAAACATATTGGATCCACTTTCCCCAGCGGCTGCGCTCGCGATATTTCCCCGTTACGTGGCACCCTTTTTTCCCCCGTTTCCCGCGTGTGTCGCAAACGAGAAATAACACGATAATACGTCGCCCTTCCTTTTCGATAAAATGTTCGCCGTCGTTAATCAATGGGTCGTACGAGCGAACGCGATAAATGGCTAGAAGCATTAACACTGCGACTGCCAGACGAGTCACAATGACCCACTCCGGATTTCTTCGTTTCGTAATTATTAATTAGATGACGGATCTTTCTCTGAGAAATTCACCCTTTGCACTCGAGAGTATTTCTTGAGAGAAGTATTCACTATTACCTGATGAAATATCGATGATACGTTTTACATTTAACGTGAAGAAAAATTGTAGAAAATTTGATATTGAATTCTAAATTTCATCGTTTTCTTCGGTCAAATCAAAGGTGCCGCTCGAGTGCAAAGGGCTAACTTTTTAACCACTTTTTTAAATTTTTCGACAAGTCGCAAGCTAGTTTTATTTGTTACGTAGATCCTAAGGATTAGATGAAAACTGGGATTAATAAATAACGAGATAATTAATCCTTTGCGGACGAATGTCGGCATCTCGGCGAGATGAAATTTTCATATTTGGAATGCTGAGTCACAGAGGGGTGATTTAATTACTCGAATAGCGAGAAGTCAGTGCGTAGTTTCCTTTTTTCAATTATCTAAGCAATCGATATATAATAAATAATAATAATCAAGGGATCTTCGTTCGCGAAGGGTTAATAATAGGCTGATTTAAAGAAAGATTAAAATTAAGCGGCAATATTTTACAAAACATTTATATTTCACGTTGCCCAAGGTAGAAGGGTCAAAGAAATTAATTTAGCAATACGTGAAATGAACCGTAGATCAATTAACCCTTTGCACTCGGAAGGTGACTCTCATAAAACGCATCAATCTCAGAAATGTTCACGTAAAATAGCTTTGTCCGTCAATTCGCGTGATTTCTCGTCGAGTTGGTTACAAAATATCATCTCATCAGAAAACGTTGAAATATTTCCAGTGAAAAACATCGGAGTGCAAAGGGTTAAAGTCTCGATAGACGCACTCTCGGAGTTTCTATAGAGAAATTTTCCAAGTCGATTCAACCGCTCGGCAGCGTCAGAGAGATACACGAGCGCCGCGATTCTTACGCGGAGTTTTTCACCGGCACTAGACAGTAAGCACTGGAAAATCTACAGACGAGAGTGGCATGCTCGGAATTACAATAGCGTTCGCTGGATGTTCGAGGGAATCACTTACTTGGATTCATCTTGATCTTCGTCGTCGTCCTCGGAATCGAAGAAAGCGTCGTCGTCCTCCGAGTCGACCGAAGTTTCCGTCCTCATTCGCCGGTTCTGCTGAACAGCCCGGGATTTCGGGATGACAATGTCCCTGGAAGAATAAAAGTGAACGAATAGAGGATCCCGAAGTTTATACGGCGCCACGCGCGAACGAATAAAAAGACAGCTCTCCGAGCGAGCTGAACACGCACCTTGTTTCTAATCAACGAGTCGCGGAGTATACTTTCGAACGACCGATCCACGGTCCCCGAACAGGGAAACGCGAGCACAATGCGAGCGGTTCCCCCCCGGTCTCGCGAAAATTTCATTCCCGCCCCGAAAGAACCCGCCGCGAGTTAATTGCCACGGAAATTCATAGAACAAACGTTCCGCCGCGGCCGGGCGCACCGTTCGACAAGAAAAACCTCCGAAGTTTCAGGCGGAGCTCGATATTTAAATTCGAAATGGAACGAGATTAAACGAAAAGCGTCCGGCCGGGAGCGAGTCTTTTATTCGGATCCGAAATCAATTACCCGGACGATCGTTGCGCGACGGTTTTTTCGGCGACCGCCGCCGGAGCGTTCCCGAGCCGGAAGTTTCCGCGAAACGGCCGCGAGTCGCCGCCGGAACGTTCGACGATAACGATTCCGCTCGGAACACGAGCGAGAAGTTGGACGAGGTCTCCGCGGGAGCTTTAAAATTTCACCGGGCCCCTCTCGTTCGCGTCAAGACGCTGACACGCGTTGCCCGGAAATGGAATAAGTTAAAAGTAATTCGCCGACTCGGCAACGGACCGGTTTCGAAAATAATTCCGACCACCTATGCTCGGGAAACGCTCGAAATCGTTTTCAGGGGTTGCTGGGAGACTTGGATGGTTTGTCTAGATGGTGTTCAACTCTTTACGTGAATAATTTTTATTCGAAAAGCGAACGGAAGCTCGCGAGAGCTGAATAATTGAGTGACTAAGGTATACAAGTGTGTCTTGCAGTTTGGAGTTGCAGAATTTCAACGAAGGATGTGTGTTTTGGGTTACTCTTTGATTCCAGCGCTACTCAAAGTTTAGTAATTAACCTTCGAGGGGAAAACGTTAACCCTTTGCGGACGAACGTCGACGTTTCGGGACAAGAAATTCTCTGGTTTCGAAGACTACGTCGCTGACGATTTAATTAGTCAAATAGAGATCGGTGTGTAGTCTCTGATTTTTCTATTTATTTGTGCAACGAAAAATTAGAAATTTTCTCTGAGAAACTGGCAATAGGAAAACTGAATTGTAAATCGATCGAAGATTCAAAACATTTCGAAAAGTCAATTGAACTACTAGGTAGTTTGTGTTAAGCTGATGTATAATTTACCTTCATCCGCTCAAGGTTTCACATCCAAATCTTCGCCTGCGAAAGGTGAAAGTTCTTAAACCACGGATAATTCGATGACCTTGTCTCACTGGTACACATTATCACTCACTTCAGAATACAACACAAGAAACGCGTCTGTCCTAACACTAGAACTACCGTACCAGTCAAAATGACTGACGATTTGTTTGTTTCGTTATTGATACCTTAAAAGCATTGAATATTTGAAGTGATTTTGGAAATAAATAGTTTCACTCGAGTACTATAATGAATATCCAAAGAAACTGAAGATAATCTATTGTTACAATTTTTATAGAGATCACATATCAATCTATAACCCGAAATAAATGCCATCGGTGAACGTTTCGCTCGAAAAGGAGGTAACTTTTGGACCAGCCTGTACACGCGCGATGCTTGAATATTTTAAGTGATTTTGGAAATAAATAGTTTCACTTGACTACTACAATGAAATCCAAAGAAACTGAAGATAATCTATTGTCTCAATTTTTATAGAGATTACATATCAATCGTATTAAATGCTCGGTAGTTCTAGCGTTAATCTTCGCCGGAAATCAGTAGAAACAACGCGAAACACAGCCGGTCGCGGAATCCCCGGTAGATTCCATAAAATTCCATTCTGCCGTCCATTAGCTCGAGTCCGCGGAAACCGTTAACGCAAGGAAAATAAACTCGCGTTCCGGCCGGGTGATTTATACCTGGCGGAACGTCGGCTCGTAAAAATTGAATTCTACGCCGGCAACTTCCGGAGTTTACAGTATCCGCGTCCAATCTCCTCGGAGCGGGGATCCCCGGCCGCGTCATCTTTTCGATTAACTTTCGAGTGGTCCTGTTATCGCCGACTTTGCTCGCCTTCTTCGTCGCTCGAGCCGACGGAGTCGAAACGCGAGCGTTCTCCGCGCGTGAACGCTCGTCGGCAGTTTCCACGGCACTGAGGTTAAATAATAACCAAAGATGTTCGCTGGCAAGCTGGACTGTTGCGACCTACTGCAGGACGAAAGTCGCAGCGGCTCGTGGATCTCGCCGGACGAGTAAACAAAGCCTACCTCCGCTGAAATTCTCGAGAAAGCGGTAAGCAGGACCTTCGCGGAAAGGAATGTTTATATTTCTTATTGTGATCGACAACTACGACGTGTTTTCGATTAGGATGAATTCGCGGCGGCCTCGACTGTCGACAGCGGAGCGATGGTTTGTACGGAAATGGGGACGACGGTTGGTTTACAATTTTCTGGAGATGAAGAGATTAGAGGATTAAGGTCGTCGATGGGTCTAATGCGGGGTTCTGAACGCAGGTCAGAGAACCGTACTAATTTGAACCCTCTTTCAAGTGACGAGGAGTTTCGGGATGTGTATGTTTCTGAAATGGGGAGTATAAAGAGGCGTGAATCCTTTGTTCTAGATTTATTTCTTGATGTCTGTGTTTGATTAGAGTGTAATTATTGATAATAGAGGAATGATGTTTGAAATACTTTAATAATTCATTGAAAACAGAGGTTCTAGATATATTCGACGTCTATATTTTCTCCAAGGTATAATTAGATATATTGGTATAACCGAAGAATAATATTTAATTTATTTTTTTCCTTATTTCCCAACCATGATCTACGCGATTACTTTACCATTAACAATTCATTGAAAACAGAAAAACCCTAGAGGTATTCGACGTGTATATTTATCGAATATCTAATTCGAAATCAGAATTGATTACTATTTAGCCTCGTTGAATTCTTTTCGGAATGTTCGCATGTCTGACACGTTACAAGGCAAGGGATTAAACAGGTTTTCAGAAGTGGAGCAACTTTTTAAGTTCTCCGGTGGATAACCCAGAGGAATTTCGAACTGGCGAGTCTCGGATCAGGATTACAAGTACCCGGCATTCCCGGTTCGCAGTAAGTAGCTCTGTACAGGATAACGACGGCAGCCCGTTGTTCATGGTCAGGCGTTAGTGAATTGTATTACGCATTCAATGGCAGGTGCTCCTGGGAATCTTCATTGCCAGCCAAGCTGTTAAGTAGTATGGCTCGATATAATCCTGTTCCGAGTGGAACGGCTACGTACGTGGTCAAACTTCATCTAGGCGTGGGAATATCGGCGTAGGAATCGTTAAGAGGGTTGTCTCGAAGCTGAACCGGTGAATGATGGAAATTAGAGCGAGCGGCGGGCGGAAGGGATCCGTGTTTGTTTCGAGGACTGTCTTTTATAGAATATTAGTAGCTTCGTGCTTGTATTCTGACGAATACATGATGAAGCATTCAGAGTAACTTCTAATTCTTGCTAAAAAAGTCTCACTGAAATCTCAATTGAAATGACAGCAGATGAAAATATTGGGGACAAGTCAGTTCGAATTTCTTCTATGTCGATCGAAACCTCGACGAAAGTCTAGAAACTTATACTACTGAGCAGTGCTCGATGAAATCTAATGCAAATTCAATTAAAGTCGGAATATTAAGGAATAACTGGATCTCTTCTGTAGAAGAATGGAATGGTCGAACCTAACGAATTGATTAGAGATATCCAATTCGATGTTATGAGTAACCCTTTGCACTCCAGAAGCTTCACTAGAAGTACCTCATAGAAATAAATTGAATATTTCTAGTGGTAAATTTTTGACATTCTGAAATTAACTCGAGTAATCGCACGTACATTCAAGAAAACTGTTGTATTTGAATATTTGTCATATTACCACATAGCAGAGAGTCGAATATTAAAATATTCAACATTTATATTTGAAATATTCAACATTTTCTGTCGAGACATAGGTGATACTGTTTGAAACTAATTTAAAGATAATTCAAAGATAAATCAAGCAACGAAGGTGTTATTTAACTATTCCACGCAGCAATGCAAAGTTTAATCTAAAATATCAAATATTCAACCTTATAATTTTCTTACATCGAATCGTGCGGTGAGAGTCACCTCTCGACTGCAAAGGGTTAAATATCGAACGTTAAAATTCTACCGTATCGAACGAACCGTCGACCGAGAGGCGCCTTCGCGCTGCAAAAGGTTAAATATCGTCGATTCGGAACGGGAAACCGGAGAATTCCGAGAACTCCGATCAATTGTTCGTCGCGCGAGGTCGGCGCGGCAAGGTTCGGATAATTGGCCGCGAAGGCCGTTCGATATCTCGCGCGGACGGTTCAAGATAAATTCCGCGGGCACGCGAGCGCGTCCCGTATCCACGTGGAAAGCTGCAATCACGGTTAACTGGCAATAAGCACGCTCGGAAATCAATGATCGCCTCCTCCTATCACCGATCCGCCGGTTTAATACCGTTCCGCGGATAATATCGTCGTTAACACGTTCGCCGGCAGCGTGTCGCATATTCGTGACTCCCGGCGTTTTCGTTATCTCCGCGGAAGAATAACGATTTCGCGAGCGTTTTCAATTAAACACCCGACTCTACGTAATATTGCGTAATTAACGCTAGAACCGCCGTAACGGTCAGAATGATATATTATCACTGGCGATTGACGCTTCTGAATGACTAAAAAACGATCGTAACATACAAGACAACCGATGTGAAATAAAAATGTTCAATAAGGCAACTGAGTTGATAATAAACGCAAACGTTGCAAACAATTCATTATTCCTACTTTTCTTTGCTACGAAAGACGAACTCTATGGGGAAACGCTTAAGATTTTCGTGGCGCTTAACGTGTTAATTAAGGGACTATTTCGATGTTTCACGCGTCGATACGTTACAAGGTTTAATACTGAATTGAAAATTTTATAAGTCTGCGTCGTCTCGAGAGTGAAAACTGAATACGTTATTCATTAAGGATCTGTTGTACTCGAATAGTATGGTTATTGAAATAAGCAAACGAGCATTGAAGTTTGAACGCGACGATTACACGGGTTCCAGCAGAGTTTTCTCGCCTGTTTTTCCAAAGTTCGACGAAAGTTTCCGCTGGGAAGCGTACTTGATGCTTACCCGGACTTGTGGAGCTCCTTTTTCGACACGCAGACCGCGGTGAACGTGTCCTCGAGCAAACAGAGTTCCTTCTTCTTGCAGTTCAGCGGGCGACAAAGTTCACCTGGAACACAAGGGGAGCATTTCCGTCAATTGTCTGTGAATAGAGCAGGTAACGGTTGAAAAGAGATCTCCGCCGCAAGTAGAGTCGGCGAGCGGTGGTCAGACACAAAAGAATCCGATCGAGCTTCTCGTCTCAACCTCTTCGTCGATCGAAAAAGAATTCCAAAGTGAATCGAGGTTCAATTATGTGGCATTAATGGTATTTTAAATGTTTCATTTAAAAAAAGCACAGGAATAGATAATCGAATAAAATAGAAATAAATAGAAACGATATAGCTCTTCTCAAGTGAACGCAATCTAAAATCTCCCACCATCACTTGAAAACCATTCTCTCCCCACAAGCATTCTTTTTACTCACACTTCCAAAAAAATTCTCAAACACACCCCACTCTCACCACTCGCGTGAAGCTGTGAAAATAACAATGTGAAAGCAAAGAGAAAAATCGTTTTTTATTTATCATTTACATGGGACTGTAAGCTATAACACTTACTTCAAGAATAAAATATAGCCTTTCCCATGGAACAAAAGCGCAGTATATCAAAATTGATTGTTCTTGGCCTGTTTTTTTAAAAAACTGTGCGTTAGGTTAAACCTACGATACTACAATCACATTTGTTAATTTCAGTTCGAGATGTTCATTACCAGTCCGACACGATACTGTATGGACAAGGGGTTAAGAAATTATTCCCAAGTCCGATGAATACAGAGATCGGGTTCCCGGGAAATCCGAGAAATCACGGCTCGGTTCCATCCATTTCCGCGGATCCGATCGAGAGAGCCGGCGATACATCGAGGAGCAGTTCCGCGGACGCGAAAGGACTTTTAACGGAAATAGAATGCCCGGCGAAAGCCCCGGCCGTATAATAATATCGCGCCCGGCGCCGCCTTAAAATTTAATAAGACGGGGCCGAGGCGGAGAGCGCGCGTCGATACGCCGCCGGCCGCGAGATATCGACGGGAGAACCGTGAATTTTTCCACGTCGCCGATCGTGACTGCGAGCGCTATAGTTTAATTCGCGCGCAGCCTCCGCGCCGCCTTGCGAGCCGCCTTGCGAGCCGGCCCGAGCAACGCGGAGCTATTCTTCCGTTTTAATATCAGTCCTCGTTCGAGCGATTCAGTATTCCGGATTCCTACCGGCACGCTTTTTATCTTCCCTCCATTGTTGATAACGTAATAACCGGCACTCGCCGGAATTAAATTCGCCTTGGAAGTGTCGGGGTTTATTTATCATCGCGAGATTGTCCGTTCGGAGAACCTAACGGGGAATTTCGTTAGAAATTCTTAGAAGTTAACATCAGCACTTAGATTGTTACTTCTTTTTGGAATTTCTTTGTGGAAGTTGTATACGTGAATTCATTAAGATTTCGATTGGTTTACTAGCTTCTTTAACACTTTGTCCGAAGAGCTCTTGGTTTCTCACTTCGAGGTTCACGTTAGTTCATTCGATTGCTCAATATGACGCTCTGTTTATGCAAGAATATTTGAAATGTTACCTTTAAATGGTACAATTGCACTACAAATAAATATAGAAAAATTATTGAAACAGGTAGAGGTTGCAATAAAATCGACACAGGACTGCCAAGGGTTAACCATTCCTCGAAGCGTCTGTAGTTTTACAGTTCCGAAGGAAGACTTTAGGAATCGGTCATTTTGACTCACCCGTGGTATTACCGATGTTCTTCGAATATCGAATCTAGAGTCGTTAAGTGCATTATTTAGCGAGAAATTACAGGAAAGATGAGAGGAGACCTCAAATCTTGACGATCTCCATGAATCTTCGATGAAACCGGGACTATAGTCGAACGAAGCCTTACATTCCTTCCTACTACTAGAAATCGATGTTTATAAATATTTACTACTCCTAGTCCCCAGTCGAACGAGTAAATAATCCCAGAACTGTCGAATTCTCTTTTTACCGAAGACCCACCTTTTCAATATCTAGTAATAATAGTCCTCACTATAAACTTGGGGTGCAAAGGGTTAATTAGAACTGCGAACGGGGCGCACGTACGCGAACGGATCGTCCGGCGAATGAAATATTTGGCTCGGTCCATCGGCGATTCTTTTTTAGCGGGGTAGCGCGGTCGATTTACGGGAATTCTCTCTTCATCTATCTCTATATTCCCCGAGAGCCGGCCTCGCCCCACGAAATTGAGACGTCGGCGGAAACTCTAGACGGCCGCCGCCTCTCCTTAATTCTCGCACGGCCGCCGACTTTAATTCCAGCCTCCGCTCCCGGGGATGCAGCCCCGCGAACGGTCGAACTTTTAATTAGACGCGTAATGGATCCCTCGGCCACCGATCTCCATCGACCGGCGCGGCGCGCCTGCTCTCGATACAGCTTTAATCTGGGATCCTTCGGTCATATTATTCCGAAACTTCCGTGCGAGATGATGGGAAAAATATCAGGGAAGTGTTACACTCGATATTCAAAGTTTACTAATCCCAGTCGATCGTTTTGTGAAGATCGTGAAAGCTTCACTCGTCTTCCATAACGAATAAGAATATTATTGTCACTTTGAATGACAGTCTTGCGCTTGTTCCTTTTCCTCACAGTTCGAACTACCGATTTAACGCTAGATTCGCGGACTCACTTCTATTTGCAATCATTAACACTTTGTCGATATCTAACGTCCATGTTTGTAATATTAGGTGGCAAAGAAATGATTCAACTACTCAAACAGTAAGAAACCAGCACCTAATTTCCTTATTCTACTTTATTTAGGCATTCGACGTGCGATTTGGCAGAATCGAAAAAAGGATTAGTATACTCTAGAGTCTTCGTCCGCAAAGGGTCAAAAAGAGGTTTCTTTGAGAAATTCTAAAAGAAACTAATTCAGCAATACCCAAACTGAATTATAGATCAATAAAAGCCCCGATAGACGCACTCTTCGAGTTTCTAAAGGAATTTCGAGAAGTCAATTCTAGTAGTTTCAGCGTCAAATCAAGAAAGGAAACGAGCTGATCTCTTGCTCGAGTAACTGAATCATTTGTCCGCGACTTAGAAACACGATACTTCCATCTCGAACTGTCGATACTCGAAGGGTTGAAACGCGACGCGGAAAGTCGGTGAAATCGAATCGCGCGGAGAGAAATCTAAGCGCGGGCGGTTTCGTCGATCGGAACCGTGGGCCGGAAGTTCTCGGACGCCGGATCATTCGTTCGCGAAGAAGTTTCGTGCGCCTTCGAGGATCGCGGCGGCACGATAATGGGAGCAGACAGTTTCCACGGGCGGGGATCGGATCCCAGCCGCTCCGACGGTTCCAGGGACGCGGCCGTTCCTGACAGGAAGTCGGAACACACGCGCGCCGGCCGTCCCGACGCATCTTCCGCTCGCGGATTTATCGCGGTCGGTCAGCCAGACGGACGTCCGACTGGATATTCCGTTGAAAAACACTGACAGAAACTTTCAGCCGCCCCCGTTGCACTTCCTCGCGCGCGATATGCAGTTTCCGGGGCGAGCCTCGCTGCAGGATGCATCGCGTTACTCGACGTTTCACGTTACATACGAGACTTTCCTTCGGTTCACTTCGTTTTATGGCATTTCCCAAGTATTCCGAAGGCAACGCGTTTCATGCCTCGACTGATATTGGCTCTCTCGATTTTAATTTGCGATGATTTAACGTTTGATCGACTTAAGAAATAGGCGAGATGAGAGGAAATTTTAAAATTTTCACGATCGGTACAAATCTTTGATGAAAGTGAGACTATAGTTGAATGAAGCTTGACACTCTCTGATACTAGACGTCGATATTTATACTGCTCTAAGTTTCCAGTTGACAATAATCAGAACTGTCGACGGATGAATCGAGATTAACACTAGAACTACCGAGTCAAAAATTGTAACAATCGATTATTTTCAGTTTCTTCAGACATTCATTATAGTATTCAAATGAAACTATTTATTTTCAAAATCATTTCGAGTATTCAATGCTTCGGAGATATCAATAATTGCTGAACAAAAAGATCGAAACTAGTCATTTTGATTGGTACGGTAGTTCCATTGTTAATTAGAACAAGGAGCGTTTAGGTAGAGTCGAGAAAAATTGGAGAGGAATAATTTAGAGCCGAATCGATGTAACGAGAAGTGTTTAGAGATGTATTCTTTAAGTTCGAGGAATTCGATCTATAAACTCAGATCTATTTGTAAGGTTTCTCAGTGATCTAGGACGCTCGTTAGACGTTAATATCATATAACTCGAGCCATCGATCACGAAACACAGAAACATTCAGTTTGAGATAGAGAGAACGTTACATTTTCGATTCGTTGCTCGCTGATCGATCCATTCTCGAGTTCGCAGCACGCGAGGCGCGCGTATCGGCGCAAACAATTTCGCGACAGGGTTCGAAGGAGCCGTTCGGTTTCCGAGCAAAGAAAATGGAATGTCGGGAGCGCCGCCGCCCGGGGCGGGCCATCCTCGGCTCGCGCTTTGTGCGCCGAGGTAACTCTCCGTGAGCGTTACTTCCGATTTCGAGGCAATAAGCTCTCGCAGGCTCCATTAGGTCCCCCTGTGTACGCGCGTCGGCAAACATTTCGCGATTCTTCAATGCTACAGGCGAGCGTTCCCGCTGTGCAAACTGAAATTAATGTTCCTTGACTCGCGCGACCGCCGATCGACGCGGGAACGTTACTTTGATCGGGCGGACTTTTCAGGAAAGTCTCTGACGGAAAGGGAACATAACGTTGAGTACACACGAATGTGGTCGCATTAGAGAAGGAACTGTAAATATAGACGACTCTCTATTTTTTACTTCGATCTTTTGTCCTCCGGTACTTCACTGGAAACACTAGACATTCCCTGAAAGTAACTTGAGGAATCGCAAGTAGAGGAAGACTGTTTCAATAATTCACATACTAACCCTTGGTACTAGTTCTGTAATCTACCAGCACAAATAATTTTGATAGTGAAAATGAACAATAACATTTCTTAAATATAGTTTCCTACCCAGTAGAAAATCTGGATGTGTGGAAGATCGAATAATCTTGGGGTAGTTCCTT